AAGCTCATTATCTGGAGTGATCAACAGTCTAAATAAAGGCGAGTGATTTCAAAATCTCGGTCAGAATGACTTGTGCCTTCGTGCTCGCACAAGAATAAGCTTTGGTCAAACCAATGGCAGCCTTTTCAGGGTTTTTTTTTCCGAATGTGCCACATACTGGGACCGACTACCCCCAAGAAGACAACATATGTCTTCCTGACAAATCGAAGATGACGAGATTCGAACCTGGGTCACATGTTTGGCAAGCGAACATTCTATACTCTTTTCACAGGCACACACACACACACACACACACACACACACACACACACACACACACACACACACACACACACATATATATATATATATATATATATATATATATGTTTGTTCAGATTGAATGTCATGCTAGATAATATGCTCTTTACTAAAAGCTTCAGTAAATAGAAAGTTGTGGAGAGCCACGACTTCAACCTCTTGAAGGAACAGAGCACAAGATTTTTCATATGAAAATTATATCAGAATAATAATTTATCATATGCTCTGCAGGGCGGCTGGACGATCCTTGCAGAGTCTTATTCTACGACCTTTAGTTTACTGTCATGTAGATTAATCTCTACATATGTTATTAAATTGATATCTGCTTGGGTTAGGGTAAGGGTTATCCTACCTTCCCAAAAGAACAGGATATGAGACAAAACTAAACTCGGACTCGCGCACGTGCACATGTGAGTAGTTTTGAATGTTAACTTCCAGAGGTAGACAAGCCTGTATAACGGGCCTAGAACGGTGACAGGCTGCAGGCCAATGTCAAAAAGACGAAGATCCTCATCCAGCCGACCAGCTGAGAGGCAACACCGGACGTTAGCATCAACACCGATGGACAGCCGGTAGATGTCGACTAATTTCCCTACATTGGCAGCACTCTCCATTTATTATATTGGGTTTTTCTTTAGTTTACAGAAATCGCCATTTTGTAAGAAGCTAAATTTTCGTGTTTCACTTAACGACGAGCTAAAATTATCATACAATTAAAGGCATCTCTATCTATAAAAGGCAGGATGTGTGTGTGTGTGTGTGTGTGTGTGTGTGTGTGTGTAACGAATGCATGGCCGCAATTTTCGAAGGATTTGCACCAAAATTTACATGCACATGCTCCAAGTTAGTGAAAAGACCGATAGTGGAAATAATCGATTTTTTCATGCTTCTACGGCAGTTTTCATGTAGTTTGCGGCCATTTTCTACTGGCCAGAGTGAGAGCCAATAGCTGGCTGCCATGAATAGACAGGAAGATTCTATTGGCCAGCGTGAGAGCCAACAGTTGACTGACACGAATGTTAACTAGCATGCTAGCATGCAAAAAAAAATCGATAGCTGCATTCGTCACAAGTGGGAAAAATTTAAATCTGCATGGCACTTTACTTCAGTTGGCTCATTCGCTTGCTTAAACTCAACGTTGATTCTGATTCCGCAGAACTGGGTTGGGTGTGAAAAAGTATTTGTTGTTAACACTCTTTTTTCATTCGGTTTTTCCAGTTACGAGTCCTTTTTTAAAGCTGATCGTTTTGTGTTCATTTTGTTTAGTTCTTTTTTCGTAACCGATTTAATGTGTAGTATAGAGCTTAGAAATCAATTCGCAGTGTGAGATAGGCAAGAAATAAGGCATGTAGCAACATCAGTACGCCAAAGGGCACTCCTTTAAAGGCAAGGAAGGGCAAAAATATTTTAAGTCAAGTGATAGCGATTGCTGTATGAGTCGTACGATTTTTGAATCAAGCACGGGCAACGCCGAGCCATGCTGCTAATTAAAAATAAAATGAAATCCATTTCGTTGTATTGTACGTAAGATTTGATGCTTGCTTCAAAATGAATAAACTAAATATAGATAAAATGAAAAAAAGAATTACTTGTACCACATTTACAGTAACCCCCACCGAAGTAATATATAGAATATAGCGCTAACACGATTGAACATTTAAAAAATATTACGTTGTTCTGAAAATATTGTTTGATCTTAGAGTAAATATTTTAATTGCTTTCTAATAAAAAGTTTTTATATTTCTAATTCGTAATTATCTAAATGTCCTCTAATTTAAACTTTAGAAAAAAGATATACGTTTACTTTTTTGCTCGAGTTCAAGTTTCGAACGCCTTTGTCATTAATAATTGAAAGTGATTGTCTCCCTTTAATTGAAGTGGTACATACATCCTGGTCTAACAGCTATTTATAGCTTTAGTAAGGGTACGTGGCTGAGTGGTTAGAATGTTAGCATTCTGACCATGAGACTCGGGTTCGAATCTGCCCATGGTTGATCACGCTTTACAGACTGCTTCCAACTTGAACAGTTTGGGGTAAAGGATCCATTTGTGATCGGAAAGTACGTTGCTGGTTTCTGAAATTCCGCTGTGGGGATACGAGTCTTGAAGATCAAGGTCGTAGAGCAAGTCTATCTGCAATTGGCAATAAACATCTCTGAAAATAATAATCAAACAAAAGCCACGTGAAAGTGTCAGAGAATTTTTTCAGTTAATAGGTGTTTGTTTTGCTTCGTTTTTGCGGCAAATCAACCTCAATGGGTTGTTTAATGCCGACAAAATTGTTATTGTTAGTAATATTATTTTTCGAAAAACTATTTCTGGTAATGTTTTTTCCTTCAAAAAATCAATTTCTGGTAATAATTTCCTTTCAAATATATATATATATATATATATATATATATATATATATATATATATGGTAACATTTTTTTCAAAAAGATGTATAGATGTTAATATTTTTTTTTTAAATGTATAGCTGGTAATATTTTTCTTTTTACAAAAATGTATTTGTAGTAATATTTTTTTTACAAAAATGTTTTGCTGGCTATTAAAACCTATTTCTACACGTTTTGACCGCAATTTGGGGGGTTAATTATTTACCCAGAGCTGGGACCCCCAACAGGTGCTACCATCCCGGTTCAAGATGAACCTGGGAACACCAGCAATTAAGAGGTGGTTCCACGCTCCTCAAAACCTACTGATCAGAAAATCCATGCTGTTGGACGTAGTTTATCGTTTTACCCAGGACGCGGATGTAGTTTATCGTCATACCCAGGACGGTAATAGGGGTTAGTATTTCAACTATATCAGACCATCTCAAGAAAACTGACAAGGTGAAGATAAATAGGTTACACATGAACTCAGTGACAATCAAATAGTTCGGGTTTTTACGTGTGTTCGATTCTGCATCTGTAAAATTTGATTGATTTATTTCTTGATCGAATTCTAATGAGAAATAAACAGCGTAAAGATTCGGTTCAGTGGGTTGATCGTGATGAAGGATCAAGACATTTACCAAAACCGAAATGGCACTAACAGAAAATGATCTTTACCTGTTACAGCTTTCTAGAATTTAACCAGAGCATCACTGCCGAGGATTACCGCTGGCAAATATATAAAATACTCATTTTGTTAAACAAAATGCGACCCACACGGGTTAATTGTCAAGGCCCAATTCTGGTTAATGACAATTCCTGGTCACATGTTACAAGGGTGACATTACAGAACCTTATTGATTTGGGATACGAAATTTTACCGCATCAACCATATTTACCTGATTTTTTGCCGACTGATTACCATGTTTTTTCAAGTATCTGGAGAATTGTTTATGCCAAAAGACATTCTGTTGCAAACAAGATGCAGAAACTGATTTAACAATTTCTTGAATATAGAGTTTGGTAATAGCAAAAGACAGTACTCGACTTGTAATAGAAGTTGAGTCTGACTAAGCATCTATGCTGGGCAAATTGGTAGGTGGTTTATATAACAGCCTGGGAGATCCACTTTGTTACCCAGGCAAGTCTATTCTGTAGGCTCTGATTGGCTGATGATTCCGGTGTTGATATTGTGCTCAATAAATATCCAGCATGCTGTGACTTATTCAACAGACAGATCTTATTCAACAGAAGGACAGATGTTGAGTTACAACCCTGTTTATTTTTGTCAGCCAACTGGACGCTAGTTGGAACCCTTCTTGCAAAGGTGAGTCTCAAACTCTTGATTGTTCATTGACGTCCAAACTTTTAGCAGTTTATCGTAAGGCCGGAAATAACCTTGTAACTCGATATCAGAAATGGGTATAGGTTCAGGGTTACTATTTTGACAAATTTAAACACTGTTTAAATACATTAATTCTGAAATAAAACATATTTTCCGAACAATCTAATAAGTTAAAAAATATTACACATGTTTCAAAATAGCATAAAAGCTAACAAAAACGTCTGACACGCGTAGTTTGCCGGAAATAGCAGCCGGGTAAACTTCCCACTTAGTGACTAACATATTTAGCGGCCAAGTCTTTGGAATGTGACCCGGTCGTTAAGAGGGGAGTGGCTATACTTTGGTTGTTTGTTTATAATTTTATCTTTAAGTTTTTTTTTAAAAACTCTTCTTCTTCTTCTTCTTCTTCTTCTTCTTCTTCTTCTTCTTCTTCTTCTTCTTCTACTACTACTACTACTACTTTCTCTTCGCATTTCTCTTCTTCTTTTTCGCCTTCTTCTTCCTTTTCGCCTTCTTCGCCTTCTTCTTCGCATTCCTCTTCTTCGCCTTCTTCTTTGCCTTCTTTTTTGCCATCTTCTTCTAGGTCTTCTTCTTCTTGACATGCCCGGTCAGAACGTTGCGAACCATGGTTCTCTACATTTCCCTGTAATTTATAGCTATTATTAGCTTCTTCGCCTTCTTCTTTGTCATTTTTTCTTCTAGTCCTTCTTCTTCTTCTTCTTTTTTGCCTCCTTCGCCTTCTTCTTCGCATTCCTCTTCTTCGACTTCATCTTCGCCTTCTTTGCCATCTTCTTTTTCTACGCCTTCTTCTCCTTCTACTTCTTTTTCGCCTCCTTCTTCATTTTAACATTCTTCGTCTTCCTCTTCGCATTCCTCTTCTTCGCCTTCTTTTTTGCCATCTTCTTCTTCTTCACCTTTTTCGCTTCCTTCTTTTTCGCCTTCTTTTTCGCCTTCTTTTTTGCCATCTTCTTCTTCTTCTAGGTCTTCTTCTTCTTGTCATGCCTGGTCAGAAGTTGGGAACCATGGCTCTCTACATTTCCCAGTAATTTATAGCTATTTTTAGCTTTTTCGCCTTCTTCTTTGTCATCTTCTTCTTCTAGTGCTTCTCCTTCTTTTTCGCCTTCTTCTTTTCTTCTTTTTCGCCTTATTCTTCGCATTCCTCTTCTTCGCCTTCTTCTTTGCCATCTTATTCTTCTACGCCTTCTTCTACTTCTTTTTCGCCTCATTCTTTTTTGCCATCTTCTTCTAGGTCTTCTTCTTCTTGTCATGACCGGTCAGAACGTTGGGAACCATGGCTCTCTACATTTCCCTGTAATTTATAACTATTATTATATAACAGTTCAGTGCTCGTTTTTGTTTTTGTGTGTGTGTGTGTGTGTGTTTTCTAATGACATTTTCTTGTTTCTTGTTTCTTTGTTTAGCTTTTGGAAGGCATCTATCACTATCTCAATACGCCTTCAGATTTCAGTGTCACACTTTCCGGCCTCAGTTAAAACACTTCCCAGATTTTTAAATTGTTGGAATTACTTCATTTTGTTATCTCCAATTTGTAATTTGGATGTTGGGATATTCCTTTTGCTAACAACTATACATTCTGTCTTTTTGCAATTGAAGGTTAGTCCCTTTTTCTTGCTTTCCTTTCCTACCTTATTTAGGACTACATGTATTTACTTTTCTGTGTCTGCAATCA